AAAGGGACCGGCTGACCCTGGAACAAGGCCCCTAACAGGGACCGGCTGACCCTGGAACAAGGCCCCTAACAGGGACCGGCTGACCCTGGAACGAGGCCCCTAACAGGGACCGGCTGACCCAATTTTCTTAAATGTCTGTCACTCTGGATAAAAGTGTCGGCTAAATAAATAATATGTAATAAAATATAGATACAGCAGCTCGGTTACCCACATGCTTCTGGAGTGTGGGAGGTAACCTGAGTGCCCAAACATCACAAGAAGAACATGCAAAGTCCACACAAACAGAAGGTCCTGAACCAGCAGCCCTAGGGGAATGAGGCAACATTGATACTCAGTATGGCACCCAGCATTTACCTGTGAGTTAGTGTTGAAGACTGCTATGCTCTCTACATTTAGAAATAACTGCTGTACTTATATTACAATTTCAAACAAATTCAATGCTAAGCAATCCCTTCAGCATTCATTGTCATCCATATACTACCTGGAAGCTAAGGCAACTGTTGAAGTGTGTGCATGTTCAGTATGGCCCAGTACAGCTGTTTCCCTGGGTTTTAATAAGGTTTACACACACATACACACACTGGTGGCAGAGCCAGCTGCTGATGACACTCCCAGTCTCAGATAACACACAACGACAGAAGTCAAGCACCAACAGGTGTGCTGGTAGCACGGCCAACCAGGCAGCACCCAGAGCCCCACGACTAACATGCTGTGCCCTTCTGTGCCAGGAAACTGCGCTTTTCGGGAGGAATCAGTAGACAAGGGTCTAGAATGACCTCCGAAAACTGCATAACCTATATAGCAGTTCGCTGCTCATTCAGATGATGCACTGAAAATTATATAACAATCTTAGTTAATATTCAAGGGAAGCCCTACCAGATAACATGATCCAAACTTTCCTGTTACAGGAAATAAAACCGTCCTCTGCTGGGAAGCTGCCTGCGTCTCCTTCAGGATGCGCTTGCTGATGAGGTCAGTCTGTGACTGTCACTGCAGCCACTCAGTCTCAGATGTCACTCAGTTTCTATGAAAGCCAAGATGACTCGTATTCTGTCCCCTCAGCCTTGTAATCAAACGCTGAATCACTCTGGTTTTAAACTTAACCAGGCATAATAAACCGCGTAATGGACCGGTGATACAGTTGTTATGCTGCTGTGTTGTTTATGTGGCAGCTGTGTACTCAGCATGGGCTCAGACTAACAAACTATCAGCCATTACCATGACATAGTTCTCACCTTTCCGAAAAGCTGATTTAATGGAATTATATCTCTGCTTTGCCTCCATTAGTCTTATTTTATTAACTACTACTGAGAAATGGTGTCCATTTTCATATAATTGCTATTTGTATTGTGCTATAAAGCAGTGTATTAAAAATATTGTTATAAAACAAGTACTAGTAATAATCATATAGAAAAATAACTGTTCTCATTGTCCCTCATTGACTCACACCATTAAGCCAGAAAATAACAGATCATATCCACATTCTTCCCCAGCACCCACACAAAAAAGCCGTATAGCCTTTGCACCTTTGCTTAAAGTACAAGCCAATCCCAATAGATCTCCCTAAAACGACACTGGTGACCCCTTGAACTCACCATCACGGTGTGGCGATATACAGGTGAGTGACCCAGCCCACCCCCCGCCGGGGATGCAGCTGTGCATTAACATATATTACACAAGACATAGAGGTAAATCAGTTAAATAATTTCTACGTAATGTACCCAAAAATGAGCCTGTCTCCACATTTCATATGCAAAGAAAATGATTTGAAATATTCATTTTTATGTATTTAATAAATTATTGCATTGCAGATGGTTTGTACAATTGTATTGCAGATGAATGGTTTGTACAATTAAAAATAATCTGCAACTACAACATTTTTTTATAAGTAAACAGGCAATTTAACTATATATTAAAACACGTCGTGAACACGTTATTTAATGTTTTGGTGTTTTACTTGTGGTTATAATGATGTGTAAGAATTTTCCAAATACTGTGTTAGTTTATGTTTTAAGTTACAACTTGACATAAAAATACATAGTATGGAAAAAAAACTCAAAGCCCGAATATTTTCAGCGACCACTCGTCTTCATGTTCTGCGTGTTCATCAGTTTCTTCCTGCCTGATATCAGCGCCCTTTCACTTGCTTTATGTGAGTCGTCGCACTACATGAAAAATACTTAACCAAGCTGGAAAATTAGACACAGAGAAACGTCCGTTTCGAGGCATCCAAACATTGGAGAGACTGACAGCGCGCAGTCCCGAAGCGGCGGAGGTACGGTCACTCCGGAGGAGTTTTCCCGCAGGATGGATGGATAAGGTCGGGATGAAGACGGAAGCTGGCAGCGCGGAGAGGGGGAGAGCTTGCTGAACATGACCGGGATTCAGCAATAAACACCCTGTCAAGCAGCCGTGTGTAGACACACACACACACACGGAAAAAAGTGATGAAAAGACAAAAACTCACCTTTAACAGGGAATGTTGGGTGGGATCAGAGGAAGAGCGAAGGTGTGAAATTGTTAAACACAGACAAGGGTTTGGAAAGCGGGGTGGAGGGAACGGGAAAACCAAATAAAGAGGCTAGTCATTCAGCAGGAAAAAAATGTTCTGGATAATGATCCTACGTGTGAATAAAAACAATAACATATATAGCAATATCTTTGACGGCTAACGGGATGAGAAAATAATCCAATGAAGGCACCTCGTCTTCAGGTAAGATGTCTGGTGAATTCTCCAGCACACTGCTCTGCGCGGAGAGCTTCGCCTTCCCTGGTCCACCGACCGCACTTTCTCTCCCCGCTCCGCTCGATGCTCTCCGCGGTGACGTCAGATAGAGCTTGTCTGAGAGCACCGCACCTGTCAGCTACCGCGGGGACAAGCGCGGTGGCCAGCCTGTTATAACACCACGTGTAGGTTGTCGCGTACACATCAGCTCTATTCAATAGGAATTCCCCTATTTGACGGTCTAAGGCAGACATGTGCCCTCGTACATAAATAGACAGCCATAAATAAAGGATTATATTGGATATAGTTATATTAAATTTAGTCTATATACCCAATATGGCTTATCCAATACAGTGCTGTGTTCAGCCGGGAGCATATCTCATGGTGCCCAGCTTACAAAACAGGAGCCTATAACTATATATTAATTATTCTTTTTAGGCCAAACGTTATCTGTTTTGACACCTACAAGAAACCATCTTGCAGGTGCCTCGGTGGGACGCACTGTCACCTCACACTCATGTTCTCCCTGTGCTCTGCTGCTTTCCTCCTCAGTCCAAAGACGTGCAGTAGGGTTAACTGGTGTCCCTAAATGGGCCATAGCGTATGCTTGTGTGTGTGCGCTCTGTAATGGACTACACCCCAGGTCCGCCCCTGCCACGTGCCCTGTACTGCCTGCAATAAGAAGTTAGACGAATGGGAAAAAAGACATTTAATTTTTGGAACAACAGTTATTGTTGTAATTGTATAATGATCATTGATTCAAAATGAATTCCCCAGGGATGTAATTATAATGGATAGATAGGGGAAGTAGAGTCTTTCGTGGGGGGTGATGGCAAACTTATGTATAGTATAAAAAGCTATTCATGATTTAAGCCAATAAATACACATTTATGAATGAGGGCTAAAGCCCCCCCCCCCCAAATAGGGCTAACAAAGCCCATGAGTTCACTAAATTTTATGAGTACTAAGGCATTGATATATCAACCTATTATTTATGTTTATTAATTTTCTGAAGTTATTCTAAGTTCTAGAAAATCCACCTGACTCAAATTTCAAAGTCTGATTTATGTGTAGTTCAGTCTTTAGCTTTTTGAAAATTATATCCCAAACAAGGAAGGATTCATCTGAATGTGAAACATAATCAAACCCAAACTGTTTATATGAGGAACACTTCAAATAACCCTGAACCATGAACAACACGAGTGCTTTAAGCAAATTATCTGGTCAGGATGCCTCCTGGACGCCTCCCTGTTGAGGTGTTTCGGGCATGTCCTACAGGGAGGAGGTCCCGGGGAAGACCCAGGACACGCTGGAGAGACTGTCTCCCGGCTGGCCTGGGAATGCCTCGGGATTCCCCCAGAGGAGCTGGATGAAGTGGCCAGGGAGAGGGAAGTCTGGGTTTCCCTGCTTAGGCTGCTGCCCCTGCGACCTGACCCGGAAAAGCGGTAGGAGATAGATAGATGGATGGATGGATGGATGGATGGATGACCATACTAAATCCACAGTTACAAATGCAACACAGAACAACATAAATGTTTACAGGGGCTAAGTGGATGCAGTATTAGCAATATAATTTTGAAATATTAAAAGATTTATTTGGTGAACTGTAATGAACTGTAAATAGTTAAGTAATGATAAATTATACAGCATCTTGCGTAGCTTAAGGCCATTACAGGGTCAATACTATATGTTCCACATAGCTGAATCTTTATATAATAGTAGGAAATATCATGGACAAGTAAAAAGTATCTCTAGGGTTTCAAGGTCAGCCCATCCCCCTGGGTAGGCCAACAATAAACAAGCCAGAGACAGTGTGTTTTGTGTAGCCCTATCTTCTTTCGTGCCCTCTGTGGGTCAGCTCAGCTCGTCTGCACCCAGTCTTCGGTCTTCTACTTCGGTCCAGAAGCCAGTGGAGGGTCATATTTATTCATTCCAATTATATTCCGGTCTGCTATAAGGAAAATGATATGTGATTTGTACTCCCTAAGAGTAGAGCATTACAATAGTACAATAATACAATGTAACACAGCACTATTGAATAGTATATTCTGTATATTCAAGGATGGTACCCAGTGATTTCAGAGATCTACAAGGGACATGTAATAATCATATCACTGAGGTAAAGAAAAACATGGCAACATCTAAAAACTAAGACACTTAAAAAATAATCACTCAACCAGTTTAAATGGGTAATTATGAATATATAGACATTTGATGCAGCTGAGAGATATATTTGTGGGTCATCAGCTTATGGCTGAAAATTGTATGCTCAAATATCCTTCTAGCATGCCAGCAGCCAGTCCACCTGCAGTCAGACTAGATAATCCACTTGAAGCTCAGCAGGTTTGGACCTGGTTAGAACTTGGATGGGAGACCAACTCGGAAAAGGAGTTGCTACTGGAGGAGGTGTTGGTGTGACCAGCAGGTTAGCCCGTCCTGTGGATCTCATTGCAGTAATGGGGACACCGTGCTGTAAAAATGGTACCGCCCTTTGGATGAGATGTAAAACTGAGGTCCTGACTCTCTAAGGTCATAAAAGATCCCTGGGTATACTTCAAAAGAGTAGGAGTGGTACCCCAATGCCCTGGTTAAATTGCCCACTCTGACCCTTTCAAATCTACCCTCCTAATCATCCCCTATATCTAATTGGTGAATTCTCTCCTGCCCCTTCAACACCTTAGCTACTGTGTGGGGAGCATACTGGCACAGAATGGCTGCTGTCGCATGCTCCAGGTGGGGGCTACACAGTGGTGGTGGGTGAAGTGGATCCTCATTGCTCCAGTTAAGTGCTTTGGGTCTTGTAAAAAAGAAGTGGCATATAATGCAACATTCATTCAGCATGTAGCAAAACTGATCCCTGTGGAACTCCAAATTTCACCGGCAATATTGATAACACAGTGCTGTTATATATCTGAACTTACTGGTGAAGATTGTTCAGACAGGAGGCAAACCACTTAGGGAAGGTTCCATATATTCCAACCTAACATTGACTGGCTGAAAATGTCAAAAGCCTCAGTGAAATCTAGCAGAATAAGTACTGATGCATTCCCTGAGAACAGCAGTAAATCATTTACAACTCTCATTAAAGCTGTTTCACTACTGTGGCTTTGCCAGCATTCAGACTGAAACATTATTAGTGAGCATGTATGTTTGCTGTTGGGTGAGCACTATTTTATCAATGATTTGTAAAGGGAACGTTTTAGACAGGCCTATAGTTGTTAACAATGATTACAGTATTTTCTTAAGTAGTAGTCTGATTACAGCTGGTGAAGTGTTAAGTAGTGGTCCTATGAATACTCACAATCTTTCTTTAAGTTATTTAGTGAGAATAGGATCTAGCATACATTAGTGGATTTTGTTTTTGTCTTTTAAATTCTACTTCACTGACCAGCCAGAAGTATGTACAGTATGTCAGATCTCAGACTGTGATGTAGGTTAATATATAGATTGGATCTGATGTCTAATATTAAACAATGTATTTGGAAGATCAACAACTGTATTTGTTTGGTTAGTGGAAGTGTGACTCATTTTATATTCTTAATAAGCACAAAGTAGTAGTCTAAACCATATCCAGCCCACGGAGTTATTTTAGTGGCTCAAGGGTTTAATATAAGTTTAAATATAAATTGAAGACAATCCTATAGACAACGCAGACAGACGCCAAATTCTGAAGAGACACCAACTTGACAGCCAATTTCATTTTGCCACGAACAGGGGCAATAGCAGTGAAGCTTGCCTACGGCTTGGACCAGTACTGGTTAAAAATGGACTAGTTCTATTGATTTCTGCATGCATTTTCAAAAAAGTTAAAAGTAAAATCTAACACGTCTATTATTGTAACTATCATGGGAATGACATGCCCCTACTGAGATGGAGAAGCTCAGATTTGGCTCAAAGTAATTGGCCAGGCCTGTGTAAATCTATTCAAACCAGGCTGATTGAACCATGTAGCTGGGAGTTTTTAATAGTTCTGAGTACTTATAAGATTTTTAAACATGGACAGTAATATTTTTAAATGATTGTTACTGATTAAGAAAAGGTTAGTGCATACTTTTAAAAAGCACATCTTATTACACAAGCTGGATAGCATTATATGTGTAAAAAATTATAAATATTAAAGTATATAAATAGATATAATCACGTTAATGCAAGTTACAATTTTTACAAAAATATAAAATTATCCTTTTTCACCCATTCCTTTAAGTCGTGGGCTTTTGATACTCGCAGGCTATGTTGCTGTGGTCATTTATGCGCTGTGTAAAGCGTAGAAAAAGTGAACAGTAATTTTAGGTTTTTGAGTAACGGTCACGATTACCTTCTAGGAAAACAAACATTTGTAATTGACGCTTTTAAATTGTAATCGATACCGGATGAGGAATGTTTGAGTAGGCAAGTATTGATACTGGGGGATCGATCCCTATACCCAGATAACACACATATGTTGAAATGACATTGATTCCATATCAGACAAAAAGGTTGAAACAACGTTGATCTTCAATGTTCAACTTTATATCAACACTGAATCGAGGTTTTGCCAACATCAATTTTTCAATATTCAAAATCTGACCAAAAATCAATTCAGTTTCAACGTTGATAATTTAACATTGACCATAATTCAACGCGTTTAACTATAATTCAACGTTGAAACAATAACGTGGTGCTAAATGGGTATCTTTATTTTAGGCCACTTAAAATAAATAAATTGTTTTACATGGCCGCCCGCCTCAATTTTTTGGTGCCGCCTCGATTTTTTTTTTATATTTTATATTTTTCAAAAAATCCGTTTTTTTCACCTCAAAAACTGTCAGAGATCGTCAATGTGCCAAATCCTGATATCCTGTGCACTGTGAGCAAGTA